CCCCCCCCCCCCTCCCCCAGAAAAACCTTACCAGAAACTAAATTTCGCGAAAATGGCAAAATACTGATCTTGATTAACAAACAGTTCGCCTCAATATTAGCCAACTGATTTTAATTTTCCATAGCAATAGTTCCGAATCCCTCTGAACTAAACAATATAACAAAACGAAAGTGAAAAAAAGTTTGACATGTTCCTTTGTAACAAAGCAGAGCTATACAGGTTACATGACAACCTCTATTTGCGCTTACAGCTGAAAGACATTGCCAATTCTTCAAATGGATCCTTGGAGTAAGAATTGACTTTCTCCCCTCTTGGCAACGTAGCACGTTGATTAAAGAACGTTACTTAACTCTTATTAACCGAGCAGGAGGTCTGTATGGGAGAATCTTGACCGAGGTTGTGTGTACAGACCGAACGCAGTGAGGTCTGTACACACGACCGAGGTCAAGATTCTCCCATACAGACCGACTTAGCTTGGTTAATAAGATGTTTATTATATGGCAAAGAAGAAAACTTTCATTCGTTTAATGTAACTGGTTTGCTGGCATTTTGCTTGCGAACGGCGATGAGCTTAACTTAAACCAGCCAAAATTTGCTCGTCCTCTTTACTGTTTTTTGTCATCAGGCTTTTTGGCACTTTCATAAATGATTAAGAAGAAAATAAAAGAAACTGGTGAACATTTTTGTATTTTAGTTTGCTACTTTTTCAACGCAAAATGAAATCGGTCTAGATGCCGGTCTAGATGGAAAAATCTAGACCGCGGTCAATATCGATTTCAGCCAGTCAAATTCGTGAATTCGGTAGTTCCCAGTCCTTGTGAGACACAGCCATATAATAAAACAGTGTATTTAATTTCGCGTGGTTAATTTACGCGAAATTTAATTTACAACTTGTTTCGAGGGGGCTTCAATTAGTGTTGTAACTTCATTTCTTCATTCTGAAAATTGACATATCTACACATTCAGCTGTATTTCAAAAATGTGAAAAATGAAAGCTTTAACTAATTATGTGTTTCTAAGCTTTACTATATCTGGTCAAAGCAATCATTATCATCTAGAGGTTCTTGGAAACATTCTTAGTTTGCTTGTTGTGTTTTCTTTCAGTGAACTGGATAAAACTGAACACATCACCCGTTTGTTTTGGCTCCCACGGCAGTTCATACGGGAATTTTACGATTCCAGAAACTGGTCACGTGATCACCTTCAAACTGGTCTACCTCTCTGGGTATGTAAACTGCCGAGTAAGCGATCCGCAGTATCGATCGAAATGGGGCTGCTCATTCCTCGCGTCTCCAAACAACCTGGCAGTATTTATCACTGACTCCCTACAGCAGAGGATTTTGCCAACAGATAAGGCTTCGTTTCGTGGAGGTTCTGGGTGCCACGCTACTACCCTGTACGGGGTTCCTGGATTTACCTCGGAGTCACCAGAGTTGGGCTTTCATAATTTTTCTGTTCCTTTGGCCGTGAGTGTCGGTCAGGAGTTGCAAATATGGTACACCGAAGATTTGTATGACTGCTTTGCGGGGGATAACGAGGGGCAAACATGCACTGACGTGTTCGGATTGTACGTGTGACAGACCTAGCTAAAGAGATCGTGCCGGGACATTCAGTGTCATGTCAATAAGCCGTGATTGTCATGGCGGTCGTTTTTAACCAAAGACGATGCGTTATGAGCCTTGGCTGTGTTTAGAATCGTTTTTACTGTTTTTATTCAGCAATTGTGTTTCAAAGTGCCATTATGAAAAATTCTGAGGCAAATCTAAAAACGTTTTACTTTCCCTCTAGCTCTGGTGCATTGGTAAGATTGCCCTAACAAGTAGACATCACCTATGTATAACTATTTTCATGCAGCTTAATGGAGAGAGCTAAACGTTCTAACACAGTGTAAATTCCATTGTGCCAAGATCATATACAATACTCTATTTCCGAGTTGCCTTTTGCCTCTATGTCAAAACGAGTCTTGGAGCGAAACCATTCATATGAAAATGTGTTCCGCCAACAGGTTTATTTTCATGCAAATCAAACTCATTTTTCATGTGAATCGGTTTGCACGAGGACTTCTCTTGAAATAGAGGCACAAGTTGCCTCGGCTTATTGACACACCAAATCATTAGCAAAAGAAATAAAGACCGTAACGTGAGCCAGCTTCAACAAGACAGGCTTGGTAACCAGACCTGACATCGACCATTTAACAAAAGGAAAATCAGCGCCTCCGAACAATTAGAGACTTACTTGACAATAATTAACACTGAGTTATTTCTCCAATTAAGCGAAAAAGGATTACCGAGAAGTGTCTTCTCCGCTTCCACACGTGTTGGATAAGGGAGGATAATACTCCGGGGGGGGGAGCACTCCCATATGAAAAGGACGGGGATGCTCGTCGGAAATTTTGAAAAGAACCCCTAAGAGGAACCAAGACCCTGTTTTGTGGGCGTGGCTTGAAATTGCTTTAACCCCTAAGAGGTACTAATTCTAAAGCAACACATTATCTGACACAGACCTTTTCTGGCTCAATACCCTTAAAGGTACCATGGAAGCACTTGCTGTGGGACCTTTTGAGTCTGAACACCCCAAGAGGTACCATGTCCGCTTTTTATCCCTGTAAGGTAAGTCGAGCACTCCCGCCCTCTTTATATGGAAACCCCCCTGGGGTAATAAAATGTCTCTCTTGGTTCAGAATGTTCCACAAGGATCTAAATATATAATGATTTTGTGAGATAATAATCCACAACAAAATGCCAATTTTCTTTTGGAGGCACCCTTCTTTAAAACCTATTTCTCTACTTCAGAATTAAGTGCCCAATTGTTTAAAGCAGATCTCCTCCACTGTCCGGCCACAAGAATGTAATAGTATCCTCGGTTGACTATTTGTACACAAACATGTTGAGAAAAGAACATAGGTTCAACTTCGGCGTGCCTTTATTAAACTTCTTCTTTCATTTGAATATTGAGTGGCAAAGAGTGTTCGTTATACAGCATAGCGGCAAGTCTCTGCGTGTATTATTGGCTTTAGCTCATGGTATTAGTATTTTGTTGCTAGTATATTGTATGTCATTGAAGTAAATCGTCAATTAAATTAAGATTGCCATTAATGAGACTTTCGAGAAGAGACAAAAAGTCGCGTCAATGGCCGGTGGAACCACCGCCCGTCGAGCCTTCCGGGATATCCAGGTATTCCTCCTCTCCCAGGGACTTATCCCTTACGGTATCACAATACGGAGATGAACTAAAAGATCCCTTACAAACATTGTCTTCAAGCTTTGTTGGGTAGTTCCCAGCTGGCTTGTAACGAGCAACAACGTATGTGCAGGTCCAAAGTCCTTTTTTTCCTGTGTATTTACCAATGCCGAGTTCCGTCGAGGCCTTCCACACTACCTGAGTAAAATGCCCAGTGACACCCTGCGACGAATGGTCGCTAAAGTTGAAGTCGCACACTTCATCGTACCTGCAAAAAAATCGACTCGCCCTAATTTTGAAGAAGTGTACAGTGGAGCCCCTCTTTGCGGGCAACCTGTTAATACGATGATCTCGTTGTTACGGCCACTTTATTCCGACCCCGGCGAACGAAAGTTCAGCCAGTCATATTCTTATTTTAAGAACTCCACCGCGAGTTGATACGGCCAGAATTTTGTGTCCCGTTGGTAACCGGATTAACAGGGTTCCACTGTATGTGGTGGTAATGAGCACCCCAATAACAAAACCTCCCTATTCCGGCGGATAGTGCACAACATGCTTCCTTCTGCCTAAGGAGATTTTACCTCGGAGGGGGGTTCTCCCCATAATGGCCTATTCCGGGGGGGTCTCCGCTTAAAAGTGTACCTTTTTCAGGTTTTAGGCATATTAAAGGGTAAGGATTTTACAATGTGAGGTGTACGAAAGAGCAGGGAAATCTGTCTTTTAGGTATTCAAAAGGGATTTTGGTTAAAATATTTCGAACAGATGCACCTTACGGTAGTAACATTTAATTTATTAAGTTCTACATCTTTAACTTCATTTTAAGGGTTTAGAAAAGAGATGCAATCTTCTTAAGCAGATATGTGAAAGACGTACCTTTTTTCATTAAAAGGCATACAAAGGGGATACCTTTTCTGCATGACAAATGGTATATAAAAGGGTAAAGGGGTTGGACCTTGAGGCGGTGCCTCCCCGTATAAAACTTTGTAGAGTACATCTCCGGGAATTTTACTTACCATGCTTTCACTGCGTCTTGGACGGTTATACCTTCTGCTGCAGTTGAACACCCATAGAACAGGTTTTCACCCTGCCCCGGACGGGAGTCCTTATCCGAATGCTTTAAATGCCCCTGCTTGAACAATTTGTGCGCGAAATCCTTTGCAGCGTCACTCATTGAATCGTCGAGTGTCATGGGAGGAGCTTCGTGAATACGGCGAAGACCATTGTGCTGGTCCAATGCATCTTGCCTATAATCTGTATGGCAAAGTAATTAAACCCCTGTCCTTTACATTTGTTAACCCACCCCTTAAGACTCTGGACCCTCAAGAAGTCAGAACAAATTTTAACCAGAGAAAAAGTATATCGTTATGAGGGAGGGCCGCTCGAGTTGAGTTAACTTTGGACGATATTTTAGTGAAGATGTGCTTTTTAAGAGGAATTCACATTAAATCGTTGTTTGATCTATGATTTGAAACTAGTTGCGATCTCCGATAAAAACGTCTTCCCAACAAAGATGGAAAAGACTATTTAAACACAAAGATGGAAAAGACTATTTAAAGAAAAAAAAAAGAAATAAGCCATTGGGGCTATAAAGATTTTTTGGTATATCTCGCTCATGGGTAAAATAATTGGTCGTGAGTCGATATTGTCCTTCATTCCTGGATCATAGAACCTTTCTCTCTGCACTGAGTCCTTGTACTGTCTTTATAGCACTCAGTTTCACACTTACCTGCCATAACCACGTACATACATAACAGCGCTGACACCAAAACTTTCAATGACGGCATTTCTTTTTTGTTCTCTTAAACTGGCAGAAAAAAAGTATAAACAATAAAAACGCTAAATAACATCAGTAAGCTCACCAGCTTACAAAGTCAACAGGTGCAAAAAAGCGCCTACACAACTAAACATACTTAACACCTGAACTAAACATATTTATAAAGAAGAGGTATTTCTCAGGACTAAGTTTTTAAAAATACCATTAGAAACAAGGAAGCTTGCACACAAACTAGTGAAAAAATTACTTAGAAAAAAAATCCCCTGCTGCTAATCAGAACGAGGACCAGCTAAAATGACCTCAGAGGTTGAAAAAATGTAACCCTAAAATTATGGTGATCTTTGATAACATGAAAATCCGAGAAATCGTGAAGCAATGATATCGTTGAAACTGCAGAGAAAGTTTTATCAGTGTTTAAGGTACTTTTGTTCTCACGGTTTTGCTTTTTTCTGTTTAGATACCAAGAAACATCAATGTCGCAAAAGAAATTCAAAAAAATGCTAAACAGAGTAGAATTACATTGCAGCATTTTTCGTTGTTGTTTTATAACGGACCCTTTCTTAAGTGAAAACTCAGATTTGTTCTTTAGAGCCCGGCCTCGTAGCAGCCATTACTACTGAACGAAGTAAACGAAAGGACAATTGAGCTTAAGGCAACTTTGATCTTAAAACAAGTAAATCGAAGAGGAAACAATCGAGTGAATATAAAACTAAACACATTTCATATTGCGCGAGGATCTGTAGACGATGTGTAATTTATTGAACAGAAACTTTGACAGAAACCATTCTCTAAAGGAAGCGTGCTCGTACTTCTTTTGTATTTTTGTTACATTATTAACGCTGCATAATCTAGATTAGAACAAAAAAAAAAACAATGGATCCGTTCAATGAGAAAAACTGATTATATCTATACAGTATACTCTGTCCGTTCTCATATATAGTGTAGATAAGTTGGTTCACTCACCGATTTTCTGATCTCTGTCTTTTCACGCGGTATCAAGCCCTCACAGTGTAAAAACCCAGTCTAACTTCACCTTAAACTTATATGTCCACCAGCAAGGCAAGAATGTTCATTGGTAGGATTTTTATCAACTTGATGGGGAGTCTAAGAGAGCATGCAGGGGCGGACCCGGGATTTTTCCAGGAGGGGTGGTGGTATGGGACATGTTCCCAAATTGTTGCAATTTGATGAGAATTGGAACCTTATTGAAAACCGTTTCACCAGAGATACTAGCAGTGCCACAAATTAAAGTAGAAATTACAAGAAGGTACCTGTCCAGAAAGTGTGCTTTTACTTCTCTAGTAATATTTACAACCTTGTTCAATTTTTTTTTATGTTTTGCTTC